GAACAGTAAGTACTCTTACCACTGAACCATCCCTCTAGCCCCCATAGCTCTCTCCTTAATGTTTCCTTTCCACGCACTATCGGAGAAATGTGGTGACAAGGTGATCCACTGCCCCTCTTTTTCTGGAAGCAATCCCATTTTGGGCTGCTGTGAATCCTGTCCCGACAGCACATGCCATGCATTCTTTGGAGCTTTCAGGATGATGGGGGTAGCCTGCAGCTCACAGCTGAAAGCAGAGAAGGAACTACTTTCTGGTAGCGCTGGGTGTGTGTTGGGGGGGGAGTAGTGGTGGGGGGCACAGGAAGGGAACCAGCTCCTGCTCTGCTCCTCACCTGCTAGTGGCTCTTCTGGGAACCTATGGCTGGCAGTGACATTGAGGCTGTCTTCAATCTAGACTGCTGGCTTTGGATCCTGCTTTCATACAGTGGGGATTCTTGCAGTGCTACATTGGTTTTGTTTCTTCTCCTATCCTGGGTCTAAGCAAAGGCCTGGCACTTCACCACCACCCTTTACAAGTGTTTATTGAGGGGCTGGAGCAGTGCTCAGCAGTTAGGAGCATTGGCTGCTCTTCCCGAGGACCCAGGTTTGGTTCCTAGTGCCCACATGGCAGCTCACAACCATCTGGAGATGGACATCCTCTTCTGACCCTCACAGGTTCTTCGTGGTGCACAGACAGACATGCAGACAAAACACCCATACACCTAAAATTTTAAAATAGAAAAACAAAAACAACACCTTATGCTAGGTATCCCCACCTGGCCCTGGCCCTGGCCCTCTGCTGCCTAGGCTTTTTTTGTTCCTCTTCGTACCACTTGCTCAACTGTTCGCTGGCCTTTTCTACTCCAAGATGCATCCATCTCCTGAGACTTCAGGCTGGGCCAATAGCCCTGGCTCTCTGGGGACATTCCAGCAAGGAAGTACAGGACACGGGCATGGCTGCAAAACACTCTGGCTGCATCCCACATGAGTTGTGGTTCGTAGTCAGTATAATATTGTCCAGTTGATTATGTCCAGGCCAAATTTTGGCCATAGGATTTGCTTCTGCAATCCTGTAAATGGAAAGCCTAGATGGCCCTTCCTTGATCACTCAGTGGTCAAGATCGAGGACCATTCTGCTTCTTGTATACTGGGCTTCACTGAGATCATTTTTATGAAGAAAGGTTTATACTGAAAGTGGGGCCCAAGCCTCCCAAGGTCTTGTGCAAGGCT